ACCCATGACGAGAAAAAAAAAATGAAATAGGAGTGCCGCAATCGGAAGCAATTAGGCTTAAAGCCAACGAACTGCATTGGTTCATTTCCGCAAAAGGAAAACATCTAGGACATGGAACCAATCAAGGAAGGGGCATTCTGAAGGATTCCGGGGCTCAATATAGGATAGGTTATTGGATTTGGGTCCCGACTTTACTTGAGGTGATTGAAAACGAAGGCAAAGTTTTTCAATACTCATAACCTCATTATAGTGCTCAGACAGTCAAAAACGCTTTTTTCTTGGATTCAGTACTAACCTTTTTTAATATGTTCATTCGGATTAAATAAATCAAGCTTATATGATTAACTACTTCTGTGCTGTGTGTGCTCTCAGTCACTCAATCCTATTTCAGGGGGCGCACCTCCTACGAACGCCTTATCCTAGCCCTCCGCCTCACAAAGCTTTTGTGAGGAACCGGTCCAGATTGAAAAAGTCCAGTCAACTAACCGATCCGTCACTTTAGTAACCCAGAACACAAAAAAGTAGCAACAACATACTACAGCTAACCAATCTTAAGAGAAGCAAAAAGATTTCCAACAGAGGGCTCTAGAAAACTTTTACCCATACCAGAATAACACGTTCTTCTACGCCACTAACGTGGCTGAAACAAGTCTTCAGTACAAAAACTTTTGTTTTTAAAAAATGAACCGCGATTACAACTACCTTTTCACTTTGAACTCAGCATCGATCACATATACCTTCGCTAAATAAATTAGATAAATAAAATACCTTGTTGGCGGGAATAGCGCGAAGCTTCCGCATTGCATTTTGTAGCTCTGCTTTCGTAGGTCCACTCTCGTCACCCATCTCCACCTATCTGTACTCCACCGAAGTTCTGAATTTAAAACCTTCACCACATACATGTACTACTATATAATCATAAGAGGCAAATAGAAAAAGCGACGTTGGCAGAATGACGTTAATCAGGAAACATCAACGGCACAGCCGTGACCAATTAAGGGACCAAAGTCCGCTATAATCAGGACACTCTGGCTTGGATTAGTCGAGAAATAAAAGCTAAACGCGTCTAAGATGTTGGACAAAGATCATATAGCGTTAAAGAAGTCAGGAAATGTCACACTTGGCGGGTTTCTTCTACCTTTTCCACTGTATGAAATTTTATTCCTTGACCCATCATTGAACCAACATCATCTCAAGAGTTGGATGTGATGCATTACAGTTAGAATGAAAAAAAAACCAAATAAAATGATTGGAGCGAAATGGTCATGCAGTTCGACGCCAGTGCGTAAGAGCACGTATAATTGCATGGAGCGTTTTCAAATCGTTCCATTAGCTGTATAAACGATTGCCGAAGAGGGCTGACGGTTTTCCTAACCAGTTTTCGCTATATGATACTTCGACCAAAAATCGCTATCACTCTTTCGCTGACAGTGGAGACGATCCCATAAAAAAAGATGTCTGTCATTAAAACGAAAAGGAATCCTTAAAAACAATCAAAATTTGCAATTGTGATTGAGTGGGTGAGAAGCTCGTTCCAGTTCTTTGTGATCATAGGAATCTACGAAAAAGGCAGTTTTCGATACCGTCGTTATCCATAAAAAAACTGAAGTAGTACGAAAGCAAGTTACGGAAGTTAGGAATTTAGAAGCAAGATAGTCACCCGACAGGATGTTTGAAGAAATGATATCGGACTAATATAGCTGTTCACCCAGTTTCCTGCTGACTGGCACACGAGCAACGAAAAAAAAAACAAATAAGCGTTCCGAAACTAATTTCCTGTTACTCTTAGCCAATCGATGCAGCTACTACCCTTCTTCAGACTATCGTTTTGAAGGAGACTTCAAATAAACACCTAGGATTTCCAGCAACACGCCTCCGAAAATGAATAAGTGCTGACAAAATGAGTCACGAAAAACGCCAACAAAATGAAGCTTCAAGAAGAAATGAACTTCTGAAATGAATAATATAGAGGGGAGAAAATGATCTTATTCATGAAAGACCACCTGAGGGGTAGAAGTAATCACTTGTCAACCAGTTTCAATTAGAAATCGCAAAACGTTCAGAAGCAACGAAAGCGAACATCCAACATGGCAGCAATGAACATCCATCGACAGCGGCTGTGCTTATGCCGCGCGCGGCGTTATCGACTTTAATAACCGGTTCCTGCAGTGATGGAGCACAGTGTTGAGGAGGTGCAGAGAAATCTGAAACCGGATAGGAATTCAACAACAAAACCGTAACAGCCGCGTGGACGAGCTTTCGTAGTTTAAAGGACTCTTGATCCGTTCGCACTAGAGCACGCCAACCAGTCGAGATTTTTTATTCCAAGGAATAGTCAATTTTCGGAAGTTAGTGGTTAGGTGTTTGTTGTTTGTTGAATACTGGAAAGGGAGAGATACCTTGTTATTCTCTTTTCTCCTTCATTCACTGAAATAGTCGCGAATTACTGGACGAGCTTTCTACGCTACAAAGCTCTCCAGATAAGTGAAAATGTCTGGATTTTAGAGATCTCCTCGATTTCGACCAAAGTTTTGCTCTATAGAATATCTAATCTATCATATCTATCTATGGGTATTCACTTTTTCGGAACAGCTCTTCTTTCCTGAGTTGAGTAAATGTTCTTACTTGGTATTAGTTTGAGTGTAAATTATTCATAGCACAGGTCTGCTGTCCCCTTCAATTGTGAGTTACACCAGCAAGAAGCTTGTCGCAGATTCAGGAAGGCAAGAACTGTTCGGGAGGGTATTCTGCGACTACATCACACCTGAGCGAGAGTGGGGTGTGGGAGCTGGCAATGAGAAGTACTGTAGAATGGATAGATTGTATTAGATTGGAAAAAGGTCATCTCTTTTACAAATAATCTGACGGAGAGCAATTAATCCTGGAAAAAGAATATGGGATGTTATTTTGAAGCGCGTAGTGTCAACTCAGATTAGGATGCTTGAGGGATGCGATTAGGAAGTTGCGATATGGGGCGTTACTTAAACTTCCCAAGAAGACGAAAAGTCGTATTCTTGAGAAGTTTGAGCATCGCACCCCATCGCAGCGCTCCTGTACATCCTGTGGAGGGCCGTGTTCAGCCCCTTTGAAGTTTAGCCACATGTTTTCTGGAGTGTATTATGTACAATTAGAGGCGGAGGTGGTTTAGTGGCTAGTGTCACCCATCACACACGCACGGTCGGTTGGTTCAAATCCCGGGTAAATACTCCCACCCACATCAAGCGCTCCATCCTTTCCGGGTGATCGGTACTAAAATAGGAGCGCTGGCTTGTACATTGGCCAGATACCGCAATTCATGCGTACAGGCCAGATACGCATTCGAACAGCCACCATGACCCTGCATGGAAGTCGAATGCACGGCGCATCCCAAAAAGTGATGGGTTGACGCTGAAAACTTTGCCTTTTGTCTTGTAGTAACTAGCAGTTTTTTATGCATTTTTAAAATGTTTACAAAAAATCTTTATTATCCACTTATTTTACAAAAAANAAAAAATGCAAATGAACACAGTAGATCAGAATTGAATCGATTCGATTGTCGTCTTCGTACCACCAAAGAGACATTCATATTTTTTTACGCATAAATTAATCAAATACAAACTACCGCCCATTCCAATTACAAAAAATTGAAGTTCACGAAAAAATACAAACTTATTTCCATTTTTTTTTGGGATTGGAATCGACCGTATATTCCAATGGGGAACGAATTGTACATGGGAAATTGGAAAATGAGATTGAGGCGTTTGAAAAGAATCATGGTTTCCACAGAATCTCAAAAAAATCTGGTAATACTTGAATTTGGTAATACATTCTTCAATATTTTAGAAGGCAAAGGAAATATTCTATAATGATCACGTCCTGAACTACTTTTACAATTGTTACCACCCTTTATGTGCAATCTATGACGATATCGATTTCACACGCGTAAAATCGATACTGATTAGTTGCTCCATTTTACATAACGCTTCACTGGGATGGTGAAGAAGTGTGAAAACAGTTACAGGAATAAAAAATTACTCGATGAATGAAAATCTTACGGGAGAGCTTAGGCTTTTGTTCCTTGCGTACATGACCTCTAGTCAGAGAGGTACCACAATGATTGGGACGAGTTAAAAATATCTTGTCAGTGGGGCTCTTACTTACTCCCACTCTGACTGACTCTTATCAGCATGTGTGTACGCCTAAAAATCAGACCTAATGTCCTGCTTTGCTGTGATGTGGCTTGAAATCTGTAAATCCGACCCTAGAGATCTACGCACTCCCCCAAGGAGGAATCGGGCGCATCTCTTGCGATCTCTTCTCTTGAAAATAGGGAGCGATTAAGGGAAATCACGGGAAATCCTTTTTATGACAACGTTTCGGATCTAGCACCAAGTTAAGTAAAGGCAGTTTCCACAATGGGTCATGGTAATGCATACGGCAGAACGAAAACACCAGAGCCATAAAAAGTCGAGAATCTCTGTTTGGACATGATTGAAGTGAAAGAAAACTGGTCACTCCATTCCCCGGTCAAGGATGGGCGGGGTGTGGTCATGGGAAAGGGCGGGACTTATAAGTCATGAAACTGTCACGGCCAGCCATTAAAAAAGTGTTGGCGCAGCGACGAGGTGGGTCTGCTGGGTTCATTGTGGAAACTGCCCCTGAAGGCAGTGGTCACATGGGGCGAGGTTCAAGTGGTCGTCCTTTCTCTAAAGTGAGATCGTACCGGTACTGAGTATAAACCTCTGCAGTTGGCCCGATGTGACCACTGCTTTACGCTATTTCAAATTCATTAGCAAATATTCTAGTAATATGCATCTTCATAGTCCATACGTTGTTGATTATTATATGGATCACAGTCATAGTATTCAGTAGGAAGTGAGTGAGATTTGCAAAGATGGGGTTGTTGCTGTTGTTGTTGTTGCTGCTGTTGTTGTTGTTGATGATGATGATGTTGTTGTTGTTGTTGCTGCTGCTGAGAATGTACAGTTGCTTGCTCGGGAGGTGTGACACCCGAGATACAGTTGTTCGGACAAGGACCTCCTTGGTAGAACGGATACCTTAAAACATCAATCAATCAGTAATACTTCGACTTACTCGTTGTTCTGAGAGATAGAAAAGAAAACAAAAAGAGACGAGACACTCGACGTCTCTCAATATAGTTTCTGGATAAGCCATGCATCTGACTCTCGTTCAGAATTGTAGCGCTGTTTGGGTGGGTAATGGACCCGAAGGGTTAATTGCGGGGGTTTCTATTNCCTCCTTGGTAGAACGGATACCTTAAAACATCAATCAATCAGTAATACTTCGACTTACTCGTTGTTCTGAGAGATTGAAAAGGAAACAAAAAGAGACGAGACACTCGACGTCTCTCAATATAGTTTCTGAATAAGCCATGCATCTGACTCTCGTTCAGAATTGTAGCGCTGTTTGGGTGGGTAATGGACCCGAAGGGTTAATTGCGGGGGTTTCTATTTCATAGTTTCTTATAAGGCCTTTGCTGTGCGATAAGGAGAAAGTAGTCTAGAGGCGGGACATGTGAGGTGGGTGGGATCTAGGTACAAGTGAACCTTGGAACACGATTTTGTAGCCGTATATGCAGACGAAGGAATTAGTTTGCCGTCAATGACGTCTTTCAACATTTGAGATGGGCAACCTTTTCAGATAATTGATGTACCTGTTATCGACATTGGTGGTGACAGTAAAAGTGTGACGACTGCTTTCGATATAGAACGATGGCCGTGATTCAGCTGATGGACTATTTGGCAAAGAGTCGTTACTTTGTTGAACACGATCCATTCCCACTGAACCGTCCATGGTCTGCGTCATCGACATCGCTTGACGCATATCTGGATCATTTAAAAAGAATAAATGACGTTCCGGTAGTTGTGAAAATGATTCTTTTACTTTGTCACCCTAACTCCTAAATGATTCCTAATTTTTTTCAGTAGGTCTTGCTTGTATAGGATTTCCGTTGAATTTCACAAATTTTTCCATCTTGTTTCAAAATGAAAAAGGAAAAGAAGGATCAGCTAGGCGAATGGATGTGTAGTACATCTTAGGCAAGGAGAGGGCGGAGCATTCAGGAGGGGGCGGATCTTAACCAAAGGTGGCAAGGCGCGCGTTGAAGTCTATTTTTATCTTGAAATTAATGTGAAAAAATTCAAATAATCACTGAGTAATAGCGAAAAATATTAAAAGTTCAGAAAAATAGTACAATATTAACAATGATCACGACAATGAAGGGCATCCCTGATGGACGGGAGTATAAGCTCAATCATTAGCAATCTTTTTAAGGCTTTCAAGCTCACCGCAGTACATGTCCGGAGTGAGTGTGACATTATAGTCCGGGTCACAGTCAGGCATCTGATCCAGATTTGGCATTGATGAAGCTCCATTTATGGATACTTCAAAGTTTGACAACGTTGACGGTAGGGAATTACTGGAGAGGCTAAAATAAATATAGACAGGCTCTTAATCGATCAATTTCCAAGCACAGGTGAAAATAACATGAGCAGCTGCGAGCGGTTGCGGTGCGTTTCATGCTAGTATTTGTGCTTGAATCCCTCCAGATTATTCTATGACAATAACATCAGATTGCATTGCTACATCTAAAAATTTTGATGATTGTTTACTGGCTTTGTAAATATTGGTTTTGATAGTGAAGAACACCTGAGGTGAAGGACCAATGAATATCAAAACATAGGAAGCTGTGGCGACCGCGTCGCACACCTCGACCACGCCCCAGGGCCACACCCCTAAAGTCTCACTCTGATGCTTCATGAGTTTTACTGTCAATCTAAGCGATCTGTTAACATAGCGCTTACTTGTACGGTAATCCGGAGCCTCCGTTGTTATAGCTGTAACTGGAAAGTGATTCGATCGAGGTCGACGATGCCGAATGAAGCATGTTGGGCTCGGACGGAAGCTGAGGTTCTTGTGGAAGGCCGTTGGTTTCCTAAACTGCTATGATATCCTTTTTGATGATTAGTAACCAGTTTGGTAGAAAACAGAAAGAAGACCCTGAAATGAAATGATTACCATGCTATTCGTAGAAATGTCCTCGGCTATGAATTCTTGAAGAACGTCGTGCATAAGGCGATCAGGCATACGTCCGAACGAGTCGACGATTTCCAAATTGTCACAGACTACCGTACCCAACATCTAAATCAGGACCCTTCCAATACAAAGGAATATGAGATTTTGGGTTAAAGTTAGAACTTTTCTACTAGACTGAGAACGAGTAATGGAAGCCTCGAGGAAAATGGGCTTGTCAGACTGGCTTTTTCTTGAGTAGAGTATCCAAATAGCCATAGAAAAGTCCCCTGTTACGCATGCTTCCCGTAAGTCACTCCAGAAAAAAGTATTGTAAAGTATTACGGCAAGTCAAGTCTTATTTGCATTTAGAAGAGAAAAGCAATCAGAAAAGAAATAAACAAGTTGATCGAACTGACCATGACGCTCGGTATAAAGAGTAAGAGATTCCCAAAACGAGCTGATGCCACTTCTTTCGGATGCGTTTCACGAACGACATGATAGAGTGTCTCCTGAAGTCGATCCCTCAAATCAGCAATGGCTTCTGATGCTTCTGACGACAGCCCTTGTATGTCTGAAACACTCCCTTCGATTACCGAGTAATACTGCTCTCTACATATAAGAATTCTCAGATACAAAAATATGCAAGGGTTTGATCTTTGAATGGGTTGACTTGTGAGAAGGGAATTTACTCAGTGCTCCATGTGCGAGAGTGTAGAGGGAGTTCTGGCCCGTGTCAATTGATAGCTAGTTGCCTCGTTACGCCCTCTGTAGGTTGTTTCCCGTGTTGCATACCGTTCGTTCCTACACCCTTAGGGTCACACGTATAAGCCCTAGTCAGCTCGTGCATGGAACGCCTAGAAGGCGACTAGGTAATCCGAATTCCCATAGCCTAGCCCCCGTTTTTCCTCGTCGAGGGGTGCCACAAAAATGGAAGAAAGTATCGTTGATGTATAGCTCCTTCTTAACTTACATGGATTGGCTATGATTATCGCTTTGAGCAGAGCAGCTTCCTCTTCCTTAATGTTCATCCGACGGAAGGGACTGATAAGTTCGTCGATAGAGCGTTCGGCTAAACGATTGGCGAAATGGCTGAAACATATAGGATAGATTGGTATTCATTGACTCTACATGACTGACATCACACCGGCTCGGTGTAACCAGCAGTTTGTAAGTGAATGGGTGAAGCAGGGGGGGGGGGGGGGGNGGGGGGGGGGGGGGGGGGGGAGGGATGGCTTCTGGAGAATCTACAATATGGAAGAAAGCTTGTGCGCATATGAAGGTGACAGTTCGATTTGAAAAGGAAAAATTGGAAAAACGTTTCAAGCTTGTGGTTTTTATGGGAAGTCTTTGGAAGTGTCATACTCGTTCTGTCCGAATCGATTTTAGCCCCTCCCCCTCGTGTTCATCACCCATTACAATGTACGGTCGGTTACAATTAGCTTCAGTTTCCATTTATGTACATGCTCTGACAATAAATTCTCTTTTGGTGTTTAGTTACCTACTATGGTTCAGTCCACCGTAGACAGCAATCCCTCTTGACATGGCCGAAATTGCATACGCATACGATATCCGGTTGTTTGGTGTTCTTCGCCGTTACCACACTGTAGCCAAACACCATCAATGGAGCGAAAGAGTGCTTTACCGTAGCGACCTGGAAGTACCCCAAACCTACAGTAGTATAGCTACAATAAGTGGTGGTGACCAGTAAATTACTGTAGCACTAATGGTCCGCAATCGACAAAGGAATCGTTAGTAGCCTTTGAGGTATCAAAACGTACCTTATCATCAAGATTTTGTATGTCAATAATATCGAATAGGTGGTCGACCCAATCGATTGCTGACAATAAGTTGCGATGGGCCACGGCGGGTAGCTCTCCGGCTTCCACTTCTCGGAAGGAATCATAACGCATCTGAAAACCTTCGTTCATTGCCATTCTAATAGAGATAGCCCTTGAAAGCCAGCATTACAATGTTCAACTAAGCTCATAATATAGATGTGACAGTCTAGGTCAGACGCGCGAACGTTTCGCGCGTGCCGAGCGATAGTATGAACGTAACCGCACAGTATGTCAGAGCGCCATGTTCCGTATCATAGGCCCGTTGAAAAAAATGAAGAGAGCTAGGATTTGACAGCAATTGGGGAATTGAAGGTTTTCACTCGCAACTGTTAACAATAGGCAGTGCTAGGCGGTCACGAATTCGCTAAGTATAAACGGGGAAACATGCATACTAGAGCTGCAACATGGCCCGGTCTCCATTTGCGTACCACGAATGAATATCTATTTCCAAGAGTAAGGTAACATAGCTTAATATTGCTCTAATTACTCACAAACCTCGGTGCGTTTCCCGTCCAATACCGAAGGATCCTCAAGTAGTTGACGTATCGACGTAAAATTCAGCGGATACGACGCCATACCGTCTCTGTTACCATCTCCGCTTCCCACCTGCCAGTAAATCAGTAATGAATAATTAGGCAAAACAAACGAAGGAAAATATTTGTAAACATTAGAAAAAGGACACCAAGCCGCGTTGCAATCGCACGCTCAGTTGGCATCTATTGCGAAAGGGTTCAACTAACCATAAGATCGATATTCATGATTTGCATAAGCGTTGTTCTCATATCGACAGGAAGTTTACGTATCCATTCTGCATCCACTTCGCCCTCATCGTCAGCACTCAACTTGGACCGACGCTGTCGGCCTTGATAATGCCGTCCGGTGGCGTCACGATCAGGTCGCACAGCTAAAATGAGCTCTTATCAGCTGATAGGTAAAGTCAGGAGTTATTTCGGGCCGTCCTCGGAAAATCCCATGAAAACTGGGTCAAAAATCGTTACAGCTCAGTTTCACTTTCCTTCGTTTATTTAATTTGTTAATTTAGGGTGGGCCCGATTGATGCTAAACCGTTTAGGACAGGAAATCTGTATCTGTAAGTCTGTAAGTTCTCAATTCTTCTTCACGAAGGTAAACTTTTTTTTTCTCAGTCAAGCGGCCATTATTTCAGATTGAGGGATAGAAAATAAAATGAAAGGAAAAGAAGAAGACGTAAAGGAAGACACGTAAGAAAAAAATGTACCTTTTGGATCCATTCCAACTTCGATACACTTTTTAAAGCGACAATATCGACAGGAATTTCGTTCATGTCGATCCACAACGCAAGTGCCATTATGGCGACATTGATATTCTGATGGTCTCTTCAATCTGAAAGATTGCTCACGTCTCAATAGGTCCTGATCAGCAAAGAGCCAGGGTTCGTGAATCTGAATCCTTTGGGAATAGAAGCTGTTTTGACATCAACTACATCGTCTACATCTGTCACAGTCCAGCTTATTCAAGTGTTCGACTTCATCCTAACTAGAAAATCTAGGTACTCTGGGTAATCTAGGTAAGGTACTTCCACAGTAAAGGTATGCGAAAATTAAGTCAAATCCATGAAAATTCCTCAGATACACTCTTGGCTGGTACATAGTGTGAATCTGAAAGCGGTACGAAGCGAGCTTACCGTACCTCTCTAGAACGAACACCCACCAGCTATTGCCCCCGAGCACTCCGCCCGCCACCTGGCAGGATGACCTTTTTGTTTGTGAAAAAAAAACTGACGTTCTTCTGAAAAATCCTTTGCAACCGAAACAGGTAACGACACCATAGTGAGTTTTGGCATTTCCATCACCACATACACGACACACATCCATGTCTATACAGCGAAATTCTGGAACAAAGTGTATTACACATATATCACCCACAAGGATTTCACTTTCATATTTGCAACCAATAGACGCGCGCGGTCGCGACGCAACCGCAGAATTCAGTTGTCAGAGAAAGCGATAGGCTTAGAGCCGCTCCACAACCACACAAGACGGTTCAATCGCTGCACAAACGTCAAGCAGACGATAATCAGTTTCGAAGTAAAATTCCGACTTTCTAATCAGTTTCCAATTCGATATTTAGCGGAGAGAATTCTTGAATATCAAACAAATAAATTATTCACTTTGTGATTGTGGAGTGACCTTGATTTGTGATGATTCTGTATTCGTTGCAATCACGAGAGACATCAAAAAAATCTGAAAAAATCTATCATACGGAGACTTCTAAGTCCTATCATACCCGAAAAAATATCGAACTTGGCGAAGAAACAAATTGAAAAGTGAAAGAACGCAGAAGAGTACTGAGCACAATGCGAGTACTAAAGACTTCTATCCTTTTCGAGCCGCGGATCAGTTTTTGAACTAATTGCTTCTCAGAATAAGAAATAAAAGCTGAATCCACTATTAGATCGGTTTTGCAGGTTCTGTACTCAGGAAGAACGTTAGCCAATAAAGAGGCGATACTGTATGGTGCTGTCGCGGCAGAATACAGTACGGTAAGGGTGTACTAACGGCTCCAAGTCCGCCAACTCCTCCCGTCTCGACACTGATGGGCAGAGCTGGTGGACTGAACTCTTTTCCAAGAAGTGTTTAGTCATGAAAGCGATGGCATATAGAATCGGATGCTCATGTGGTTGTCCACGAAGTTCTGACGGAGCCCTGCTCACGCCGTGCAGTGGGTAAGAATAAATATTCAGTACGGATTCGAGTGGTTACCATAATCACCCATATAGTAGTCGTGTAGTAATGTTAGAGGGACTAGAGTAAGGATTTGGACCAGCATTAAACTGTTGTTCTTGCCTGTGTCTGAATAGCTCTTACTAGGTAGAGAAAACTACGTAGTAGAGGATGATTGGACGTGAATCCCGGAAAGGAGACTGCCCCTGTTCCTACAGTTGGTTCATCACTACTTCCTCTTAAAGCCAGGAAGAAAGTTCTCGAAAATCAAGGTGGAATTGTTTTTTTTTTCAGATGGTAGACTATAAATCACCCGAGAGAAACCGTCATAACATCACAGTTCAGTGCAGGTGCTTTAAATCAGGTTTCAAGGGGGTTGACGTATTGCATTCGTCAAAGTAGGTGATGTAGTCGTTATTTTTTTAATCTGATAGCACAATAGCAAAAGTTAGGTGAACAGATTCCCGACAGCCCTTTCGGCCAAAGATCGGCATGTACTCGCAATTTGTTTTTAAGGTCAATAGAGCGATTAATTTGACAACGACAAATGTGATTAGATAGGATGGAGGGAGTTTTTAGGCCAAGTTCAGAGCTGGCAGCAGGCGAATCCACGTCCAGTCCACGAACAGGAATAGAAACGCATTGATTAAACGGATGAATCACATTATTTCATATGAATTTGAAAAAAGGAGAACAGTCAATTTGAAAAAAAAACTTTAGATATGTATCGATTTGTTGGCTATTCATACTAAGCGTTCAGGAGGCGGGCGAATGGGCGAACCTGCGATTGCCGCGAAAGTTCTCCCCGATGCCATCTTCTTATTTCTTCGACTATACAAAAAGGACAAACAGTCGGAGACCTTCCCAACCATTGAACCGCCATTGCAACGCTAACTATAAACGCAGCTTCATACTGAAGGAACCTGCACTGGTTTAACTAAGAAGGATAATGAACTTCATGGATTTATTCTATAGAAACCCGTGACCACTGGCGATTGTGTTGAATTTTTTTTTCTGCCAAAAATTTGCCGAATAAGCCCAGACAAGCAAAAGTGCAAGTGTGATAAGTGCAAAATCTGGTTAGGGCTGAAAAAAAGTACTTCGTGAGTCATGATCTTTGTCTTAACTGTAACTGGTAGAATAACGAGTTCCTGGTAAGGTGGATGAAATAAATGTGTCTACTTTTTAAGACTGAAAGGAAAACTGTGCAGCATTACTCTAACTGTGACGCGCCATGCATTCTACACCCGCTCAGAATCTTAGAGAGAAAATGTATTAGTTGGAATACGCATATAACCTAAATGCTGTTTGAACATTTAATAAGTTGATCGAATACCAAAAAGGTGAATCAAGCAAAGTAAAAGCACCCTGTTCTAATTCTAGAGCGGGGGCGGTGTAGTGGAAAGTGGCGCACTCCCATCCGACCAGGACAACCTAACCTTCCATCCTTCCGGGGTCGGTTGACTGGTACCAGACTCGTCTGGGAGAAGTTAATCACTTTACCCTTTACCCTTTAACAATAAAGTTATTATCCTCAGAAGTTCCCATGGATATGCCCATATCAGAAGAGAGCAGTGGAAACGTAAGCAAAAAGATGTAGATTGATCGAAACCTGAACACCAAGAATGCGCCAATCAGTTTACGTCAATCCGCATCAGGAGAAAAGCTTCAGAAAATACTGACACTGAACCCTCTACATTTCCTTTATAATATCTGATAGGAAATGATAACAAAAGAAATCCTTGAGTGTAAACAAGCCAGAAAAACTCAGAATCGGAAGGAAGCCAGCCAGTTATCTTAATTTTTCAGAGTCATTTTCCCCAGAAAGTCTAGATAACCCATTGCCCACTAGCCATTAATCATATAAATAGAATCCTCATTTTTTTATTTCTGCATAATTTATAGCTTTTATTAACTATGTCATAGTAGAGTGGTTTGAACGGTCGTGGGAGAATGCGTGGGTGAAAAACTTGATGACAACCAGACGCCGGTCGATGCTTGTTCGGAGGCTGATAAGACAA